ATTACACTATTTAAAAAAAAAAAAAATATGTTACCAATATTAAACCCAATGGTGCCGGGGAAAATGAACAAAAAATGGGGAAAATATTGTGCCCACTTTCTATGTTTTTCGTGAAATGCCTGCCGATAGATGGCTCTGCTAGCGCCTGATTTAAATGGCGGGAAAAACGTATTTTTCACCAGTGCTATGAAAATCAATGGTGTTATTTTTATCATAAACATTATAATTTTTATAATGTTTTTTTAACATTAGTAACAGCAAAATAAGATTACGTAAAATATTTTGTAAATCAAAGAAACGGGTAAACGGGCGAGACGGGCGGTGCTTGTAACTGGCTCATTGGTGATTTAGTACAAGTGTTGCCATCTATGCGTAAAAACAATCAAACAAGTACTCACTGTGGGCATAGCACGTACATACACGTCATACCCGGCACCAAGGGGTTAAATATGAATTGAAAGTGTTGAGGTAACATTGTATTATTCATATTACTTTACCTACTAGAAGTTTAAACAATATTTTTCTACATTATGTTACTAGGTTCCTCATCTATGGCAACTGTTTGTGGTGGAAGTCTTGCCCTTATGGATGCTGGTGTGAGTCTGTCTTCTCCAGCAGCAGGGGTTGCTGTAGGGCTTGTAACACGCTATAATGCCAGTAAACAGCTGCAGGAATACAAGATTTTGACTGATATACTGGTGAGGATTTTGATTTTATTTTCATAACTCATTGAATAATAGAGTTAGAACTTATGTGTATCTTTGTGTGAAAAATAGTGCTTTACAGAATTATAACCTGGCATCAGAATGATAGATCAAAAAAATCTGTTAAGAAATAATTTTCTGGTACAATAAAAGGGCTAAATTGATCTGAAGCATTTGTATTACGTTACATTTATTTTACAGTGAGATAATATTCTCATGTTACTCTTTTACACAGCAAAATATTGCTTGTTAATGTAGCATTTTTTATTATACTTTTATGTTCCTTAGGGTATAGAAGACTACATGGGAGATATGGACTTCAAACTTGCAGGAACTCATAAAGGCATTACAGCTCTCCAGGCAGATGTGAAAGTTCCTGGAATTCCTCTTAAAGTAGTTATGGAGGCCATACAGCAAGGCACAGAGGCTAAAGGTATTGTCCTAGCCATTATGAATGAAACATTAGCCCAGCCACGTGAACAGAACAAGGAAACAATGCCAGCTCTGGAGAAAATAGTTGTGCCACCAAATAAGAGGAGTAGGGTCATGGGCCCAGGTGGTATCAATATTCGCAAGTTGCAGTCTGAGACAGGAGTTCAGGTGAGTCATATTAAGCCCAGATAGCCTATACTATCATGTTTTTTCATATATTCTGGTAGAGAGAGAGAGAGTGTGAGTGTGTGTGAGTGTGAGTGTGTGTGTGTGTGTGTGTGTGTGTGTGTGTGTGTGTGTGTACACATTTGAGTGTGAGCATGAGTGTGAGTGCATGTGCGCGCGTGTGTGTGTATGTATGTATGTGTGTTTTCTTGTTTTTGTTTTCGTTTAGTAAAATGAACAATTTTAAAATAGGTTAATATTCAAGAAAACAAATTCTGTGAATGGTGATGCATTTATTGGTGCTGTTGAAAATCTGCTTTATGTACCTGATTACTGTAATGCTGATTTTTTGTGTAATATCCTAGGTATCGGATATTATGATAATAAATAATGTTAAATTGCTGGGTTCATTACAAAAGAAGGAATTCAAAATAGTAAAGAAAACAAATATCACAAGGTAAGAGACAAAAAGAAGGGAGAGATTAAAAAGCGTACTTGGAGTACAAACATCCATGGCTTATATTCTGGCAACAAAGAACTCAATCTTTCTGGAAAACAAGGAAATGGAAAGCAAGCAGACTGAGAATCACATGGTGTGTGCATCTCTAAATGTCCTTCTCACACTTAAATAGTTTATTTACAGATGAAATAGACTAATACAGCAGACAAGGGCAATTTGGACCTATCATTTAATAGCTTTCTTCTAGGTCATACATTTATCAACCAAACACAAAAATAGTTTTACACTTACATTAGTAGGTTATTACCTACATGGCACTAAAATGACAAATATATATATATATATAATATATATATATATATATATATATATATATATATATATATATATATATATATATATATATATATATATATACACATACATACATACATACATACATACATACATACATACATACATACATATATATACATATATATATATATATATAGTTAGTCCCCAACTTAAGAACATAATGGGGACCGAGAGGCTGTTTGTAAGTTGATTTGTTTGTAAGTTGAAAGTTGGGTCTCCATTATCTTTTTTCCCATTATTTTAAAGTTTTGTTTACATTTTCCCATTATTTTAAAGTTTTGTTTACATTAAGAATACCTGTAAATAAATCCCAATAAGTACGACATACCTTATACAGTACCAGATTCTTGAACTATATTCGTGCCCAGGAAATTTGAAGTTTGCTAGCATCTTTCAAACAATTTTTTGGGCTTTAGTACGTAAAAAATTTTGTTTGTATGTATGGAATGTTCATAAGTAGAATGTTCTTAAGTAGGGGACTATCTGTATATATATATATATATATATATATATATATATATATATATATATATATATATATATATATATATATATTATATATATATATATATATATGAATGAAGAAAACACTCTACTGTGTTGATACTATGGTAGAAAAACCCACAATGTAAAAACTAGATGAATGGAATCCAGGCGGATTCCAAAACTGTTGTCTCATTTTTAATAAATCTAGTTTTTACATTGTGGGCTTTTCTACCATATATATTTATGCACACACACGCACACGCACACGCACATGCACACGCACACGCACACACGCACACACGCACACACGCACACGAAAAAGGTCTACTAATTGACTCCTTTGTGGCTAAGCACTAGTTAAGCCATCTATGTGCAGAGACATAAAAATATAAATAAATAAATAAATAAAATAAATAAAATATGAATAAGCATAGCATTTTCCAATGAAAACAAATGAATTAAGGGAGGAGTTTGAATCCCTGAGTATCTCTTCTGCCAAAGGGGCTTGGTAGAAGAGAAAGCCTCTCAAACAGTAGCAATATAGTGAGTAATATAACAGTTGCCAGTAAGGTCACAGTTGCCTTTGCAAGTGATGAAATGCAGAGTGTATCTTTTAGTAGAGTTTTGCCTTTGTTATTTCATTGGAGGTTAGGAGAAAGATTAAGGAAAAGAGGATATCAAGGCTCCAACTGGTAGCAATTGAGGTGTGTGCAGTATGTGTCCATTGTACTTAAAATATTTCTGCTCCCCCACCTCACCATTGATATAGGGTAGCAACAGTTCAAATGATTTTATGGAAGACTGTGAATCTTCTATTTGTGTTCCAGAGTAATGCATGTTGAATTCAGAAGAGTGACAGAGAGAAATAATAAGCAACCAAAATCAATTACTTTACTATGTTTTTTTAGATGAGGAACTTTTTTACAACCATGAATCTCAAAAACACATAAATAGTGTAATAAGACTGTACTGAATGAAATTCACCACACTGATATTAGTGATAATGCAATGTCACAAACCACCCAAAAAGTATCAGCACTTCGTTCCCAGTTGTTTTATTTGAATCCTATCTCACAAGAGGGTAGGGTATGAATAAGATAGCAAACTATTTTGCAAAATGTATTGCTATCAATGAGAACTAGTTTTTTTTTTTGCATTCATAATATTTTATGTAAATTTCCCAGCTTACTTGGCAAGAAGATGGTGTTTTGTCAGTGTTTGCTCCCAACCAGTCATCCTTAGAAGAAGCGAGAGAAGTGCTGAATGAATTATTGAAAGATAATGAACCTACATTAGAATTTGGTGCTATCTACACTGCTACAATTGTGGAGTTGAGACCCCAGGGGGTTATGGTAACTCTTTATGATGACATGCCACCTGTCTTACTCCATAATTCTCAGTTGGACGCTAGAAAGGTAATGTATGCCATTAAGTATCTTACAGACATAATTTCAGGTAGTGCCTCAATTTTGTTTTATTTTAGTGCAATTAAGTAAATGTAAATCTTTTTTATTCTTTATTTTCTTCCCTTCTGTTTTAAGCAATATTTTGCATATCTCATATAGATACATGACATATCTTGCATTTAAAAAATTCTATCAAAATGCAATTTCTTCCTCTGCATTTTTTACGCCACAATTTCATGGAATTAGAGGGATAAAAAATAGTAGTATTTATATACTGATACCTTGCATGATTTCTGCACTAGTATATTATCTAACCCAAATGGAGTTTCTGAAAAAAAGTATTCAAGGGGATCCACCATTTTTACTTCTTGCAGCTGTCATTTTCCATTCTACTTTTGAGGGGTTTTCTTGTAGTGTAATATTTTTATCTTTGATGCTAATATGTTTTGAGAATAGTAGTCATACAAGAATGATTGACATACCAATGAAAAGCACATGAAAAGTTGCACAATCTATTCTGCATCATTTTCTTCTACACCCTTCCCAATTCATCTTCTGGTATGACAAAGCATGAAAAAATGTCATTTCATTTCCTGATCACCTGATTTCATAATAGAAATAGCAAAATTGGCAGAGATAAAAATAAAAATAACACCCATTGTGAGTAAATTAAAAACAAACAAGAGATGATACAGGGTATTTTTTACCTGATAAAATAATTTTTTTGATGAGGTACGCAATTTAATGTAAAGTGATATTAACCCAATGCCAATGGGCCACTGTGAGTTTACTAGATGGCTGCACTTGTACAAAGTCACCAATGAGCCAATTATGAGTACTGCCTATCTCGCCTGTTTACCCTTTTACTTTATTTACGAAAATATTTTGTTATCTTATTTTGCTGTTACTAATGTTTATAACATTATAGTAATTATAATATTTATAATAAAAATAACACCAGTACTCGTAGCATTAGTAAAAAAATATGTTTTTCCTGCCAATTCAAGGAAAGGTGAAATTGGGTAAGGTCACAAGGTCTACTAATTGACTCCTTTGTGGCTAAGCACTTGCAGAGCCATCTATGTGCAGAGACATTTCACAAAAAATGTAAAAAATGAGCACAGCATTTTCCCCATTTTATATTAATTTTCCCTTGTGGTATTGGGTTAATTTTTGAGGTGCATTTTGAAACTCCTGTACTTGCCCCTGGACTTCTTTAAGTAAAATAAATTCCACAGATACATGTTTAACCCATTTGCCCCACGTGGCAAGAAAAATGCCATACCCACTTTGATACACATTTATTTATTGTATTTACACATTGGTGGCTCCACAAGTTCTTAATCACCAAATAGCCAGTTATCAAGAACTACCTATTTCACCTGTTTATCCTTTTCCTTCACTTTCAGAAAGTTTTCTTTTTTTGTATCATTTCATTGTCTAAAATATTCTAATGACAATTTAATAATTATAACATCAATAACAATAATAACGGTATCGATAGCAGTGGTATTAATTTTCCCGCCAATTCAATGAATGGGAAAATCAGGATCGGTAACTAGGGCCTACTGATAGACTCCTTGCCGACTGAGCACATATGGAGCCATCTGTAGGTAACAAAATTCACCAAAAACTACAGGGGACAACATAAATCCAAGGGAGAATGGGTTAAGTAATAACTGGTAAATGTACTTTACTCAGTGCCAGTAAATGACAACTAAACATCTGTGATTGGGGAGAGCCCAAATTATGTATGGCACCTTTGCATGCCACATTTTATAGGTATGATTTTTGTAGGATACTTGCAAGGACATTCATGACTGTGTATTAAATAAATAAGTATTCATTTATTTTTTAACAGATCCAGCATCCTAGTGTTCTGGGTCTCGAAGCTGGCCAGCAAATCAAGGTTAAGTATTATGGCAGAGATCCAGCCTCAGGTCACATGAGGATCTCTAGACGAGCACTCCAGGCTTCCAACATAGTTGCAAGAAATCTGCATAAAACTGAACCTGTTTAAACAATAATTAGAAATGTAAAGGAAACATTTGTATATACTTACTATTGTCTTTTATTGTTATCCATTAAACAATTACATATAGGAAAAAAATCTCTCTCTCTATATATATATATCCTTGTTGCCCATACATGATTTACCAAAAATGACTAGGTAAAAAGGTGTTTTTCCTTAAGGTAAGAGCAAAGCCCAACAAAGAATTTTAATGATATTTAAGGGAAACTGCAACTTAAAGAGTTACAGATTATTTGGAACTTGTATTTTGACATGGCATAATAATAAATTTTCAAAAATATTTGGCAATTACCTGCAAAGGTTTTGAGATGACAAGATTTCCCAGTAATTATAAGTCTGATTCCTTTCATTATCTCAATTACCAAATGTGATACTAAGGAGTAAGTGCCTAATCAAGTGACCTAGCAACTGTTCTTTCAGTACACTAATTTTACAATCCATTCTCATTACTGCATAGTTACTCAATTTTCCTCTCTAAATTGTGAAATCCCTATTTTTCCTTAACAAACCACAGAGACTAATTGGTTAAATTATTTTTCTATTCCAGTTCCTATTTCTTTTCCATGCCAAGTTACCAGACTACTATCTTTAAAAACAATTGCTTATATCATTTAAAAAGAATTATTTCATACAGGGACATCTAAGGTAGTTCTTTTGCACACCCAAGTTATGTTTTTACTATTATTCCACTACATGTGATTATACATCATCAGAGACATGTGTATATGACAACTACCAGACAGTGGAATGATTAAGAAAGGAACTTCTTTATGTTTCACTGTTACACAGAAATTTAATAGTTCTATCATTTTTTTCCTAGTACTGATGTTTATGATCAATAATTCATGAAAGTAATAATCTTTCTTTTTAGGGCAGTTACATCTACTTTTTTCCAAGTTCTTTGGAACGATTTGCTGATGCCTCCACAGCCGAGATGAGTGCATTCCTGGGGGGGAAAAAAGGATGTTGACTTAAAGAATTATATCACTTTCACTAAAGTTTTCTATAGTGATTTTTTTTTTTTTTTTTTTTTTTTTTTTTTTTTTTTTCAACAAAGAACAAGATATTGAACTCTACCTTAATCCATTACGCTCCAGTACATGCATAGCAGTGATGGTTGTGCCTCCTGGGGAACACACCTCATCCTTCAGCTGTCCTGGATGTTTGCCTGTTTCCATTACCATTGTGGCAGCTCCTTTGACCTTTCCCAACATATTTCATAAATTAATGAGAGTACAATCATTTACCACTTTTTTTCAACAAAGAACAAGATATTGAACTCTACCTTAATCCATTACGCTCCAGTACATGCATAGCAGTGATGGTTGTGCCTCCTGGGGAACACACCTCATCCTTCAGCTGTCCTGGATGTTTGCCTGTTTCCAAATGTTTTCCTTCTCTTTATACATAACATAAACTGATGCAGATTTTACTAATTTCTAAAGTTTTCTTAACCCATTCGCAACAGGTGTCACGTATCCGTGACATGCCCACTGTGAGTTTACTTAATTGTTTTTACACATTGATGGCTACACTTGTACTAAAACACCCCTTTACCCTTTTCTTTAATTTACAAAAATATTTTACGTTATCTTATTTTGCTGTTACCAATGTTTATAACATTATAGTAATTATAATGTTTATAATAAAAATAACCATCATTATGCATAGCACTAGTAAAAAATATTTTTTTCCGCCAATTCAAGTAAAGGTGAAAACAGGTAAGGCAGAGCCATCTATGTGTAGAGACATTTCACAAAAAATATAAAAAATGAGCACAGCATTTTCCCCATTTTTTGTTCATTTTCCCCATCGCGAATGGGTTAAGCATTTTCAGTAGAAAATAACAATTCTGATACAACAAATGTATTACTTACAGTCTGAGCAGCTAGAGTTTGTGCTAAATGACGAGGTAAACCCATTTTAACTCCTCCATCAGCAAGAGCCTCTATTGCAGCATATATCTGAAATACAAGAAAGATACCTAATTTTTTGCTTAATGTAAATAGTGCAACCTAAATCTTCATTCATGTAATTAGATGTCAATTAATATTAGATATCCTACAAGAGTGTAATTAGATGTCAATTAATATTAGATATCCTACAAGAGTGAACGTACATAAGCAGGACCTGATCCAGCTAGGCCACATGCTGCATCAATCTGGTATTCGGGAACCTGAGCAGAAACACCCACTGACTTGAGCATCGAATTCATTACAGAACCATCCCCAGAGGTTGCAAATCTACCAAGGGTGTACACTGTAAAGGAAGAATATACCAGAAATATTAGATAATTTTTTTTGTAAATACACTCAAACAAATAATATCTAATGAAAGAAACTTTATATTCAGTTACCTGTATAAAAGAGATCATAAAATAGATTGCAATATATATAATAGCAAAAAACAAAAACAAAAAAAAAAGAAAAAGAAAAAGTTATAATAAGGAAATAAAAAAAGATAACAGCAATTACAGTCAGTGATATTAATCATCACAATAATGAGAAATCAAAGAATTACAATTGCTGAAACAGTGATAATTATTATAAGGACAATAGCAACAACATTAATAATGATAATCATGATAATGATATATAATGAAAATAATAATAATAAACAATAGCAATGCTAAGAAGAAGCATCTTATAACATCTATGATGATAATGAATATTACTATTATGATGCACACACTGCCAGAGTTAAACCTTATGCTTCTCTACTTTGTATCTTCTTTATCATCCACCTTTATAATCACTGTCTTACTAAGATTTACTTTCAACCTTTTGTCTTCCATTGCCTCTTTCCACTCCTATTTTCTTACAGTGCTAGATCAATCTGAATTAAATTATCTGCTTACTTCAATTATAACTTCCACTGTTTTCCTACACTTGCTAATACCTCATCCAACACCTTGACAGCCAGCAATGTCCTGAGCAAAGAACCTGGGTGTACACATACCATGACTTAAAGTTGTCCCGACTTTCCTCATACATTGCTGCCATTGTTTCCAAATTTTTTATTATCTTTACCGCAACATTCACTATATCTAATCAATATGCTTATGGTCATAACAAAAATAAAATCATTACACTTGAAAACTATATAAATATATACACAAAAGTCAATACAATTTCCATACCACAGCATCCTTGGCCCACCATGCATGGAGTATTTGGCATGGTTCGAACTACACGTGGAGTATCAACTATGGAACTCAGCATCTGTTGATGTAGAATTAAGAGATAAAGATACACAGACTTGACAGACAAGCATTTGTATCCACCCATCTGCACACAAACACACACACACGCACGCACACATACACACAAAACACATACACAAACACACACAGACACACACAAAAACAAACACACATACACACAAAAACATACATTACACACAAAACACACACACACGAAAACACACATTACACACAAAACACACACACACACACATACACATAAAAGCACACACACACACACACACACACACACACACACACACACACACACACACACACACACACACACACACACACACACACACACACACACACACACACACACACATACATACATACACACACATACATACATATACATACATATACATACATATACATACATATACATACATACACACATTCACACACTCACAAACACAAAAACACACATTACACACACATACACACAAAAGCACACTCACACACATACATACATACACACATATACACACATATACACACACACACACACACACACAGACACACACACACACACACACACACACACACACACACACACACACACACACACACACACACACACACACACACACACACACACACAAAAACACACACACACACACACACTCACACACACTCACACACAAAAAACACACACACACACACAAAAAAAAAAAAAAAAAAAAACACACACAATACACACACCTACACAAA